ATTAGCATCTTAATCATCATCTGGAAAGAGAACATTCCAGAGTAACATCATTAACTATAGCTCTGATAAAGCATGGTCACTACTATGTATCATAAAGCAGGTACAAGATATTTTACATTCACAGAGGTATGATGCAGTACCATTCTACATCAATAATACTAGATTCATTTTTGGTTTGAAATTTACTTTGTCTGCAAATAAGATTGCTACCCCTGTTTTTTTCTGGGCTCCTGTCACATGGAGAATTGTTTTCTATCTTTTCACTTTCAGTCTATGGGCTTCTTTTTGCACTAGGTGTGTTTCTTGTATACAACATATTGTTGGATTTTGCTTCTTATTCCATTTTGCCAGTCTGTTTCTCTTGATTGGTGAGTTGAGGCCATTGACATTGATGATTATAACTGATATGCACCGACTTATTGTTGACATGTTATTGGCCTTTTGTTGACTCTTTTTACTTTTTCATCTTCTCCTTTTAGTTTCTTGCCTTGCCTTTTTGATTTGCTCTGTTGGGCCTCATGGTGTTGTTGTCTTCACTGTCTTTTTCTAGGATCTTGTTTAGAATTCCTTGTAGTGCTGGTTTGGTATTCATGTAGTTTCTCAGGTGTTCTTTGTCGTGGAAGTGTCTTATTTCCCCATCCATTTTGAAAGAGAGTTTTGCAGGATACATCAGCCTAGGTTGGAGGTTGTTCTCTTTTAGTACTTGAAATATCTCATTAAAGGCTTTCCTTGCCCCAAGGGTTTGTGTTGAAAAGTCTGCTGTGATTCCAATGGGCTTTCCTTTGCATGTGATTTGTTTATTTTCTTCTACTGCTTATAGTATTTTGTTCTTCTGTTGGATTTCTGGGATCTTGATTATTATATGTCTAGGTGTAGATTTTTTTTGATTGTAGCTAGTTGGGGTCCTATATGCCTCAGTTATCTGAATGTCAAATTCTTCCCCTCTGTTTGGGAAGTTTTCTGTCATTAATTCTGTGAACAGCTTTTTTAAGTCATTTGTATTTTCTCCTGCTACTTTATGGATTCCTATCAGTCTTATGTTATTCTTCCTTGTATCATCTAGGAGTTGTTGGATTGATTTCTCATGATCTCTTACTGTTTTTAAGAGACCTCTCTTTTCATGGTCACTGACTGCAATCTTATCTTCTATATCTGAGAGCCTATCTTCGCATTCTTTTATTCTGTTGCATACACTTTCAATGGAGTGTTTAATCTCCTGGATATCTGTTTGAATCTGTTTTATGGATTGCATTTCTTTCCTATGTTGGGCGTTTATTTTTTCCATTTCTTTCTTATGCTGGGCCTTCATGGCTTCTATCATGGTCCTGAGGTCATCTATTTTTTGTCAGTTTCTGCTCTAGAGTCTCGAATCATGACTTCCATTTTGCTCACTATCTCTATGGTTATGTGGGAAATTATTTGTTTTGAATTTTTCTAGAGCCTGATTGATCTGTTTTGTTATTTCCTGTGCTTTGAGTTCAGGGTGTCCTGGTGGTTCACTATCAGCCTTTTCATCCTCATTTGCCCTACTGTTTGCCATTGGTGATCTAGAGGTCTGTCTTTG